TCTTCGCTGGACGGTGAGTTTCCAGCCCACTGGAACGCATTGAAGGGGTTTCAATGCGTTTCAATTGGCTTTTTATTTTCGCATTACAACATTTTCGTTCTACAGCGATTTCGCTGGAACGAATTAACGTCGTAATGTGAGGCACCACTGTATTTATTTGTTTATTTTATATCCTGCCTATCTGGTCTTGTGACTACTCTAAGTGGCTTACAAACACACGGGGCAACAAATAAATATAAAAAAAGAAATTATTACATTAAATAGCCAGTTCTTCAAGATGGAGAAGAGAAAATAAAAAAATAAACCAAAAAAGAAAAAGAGAAGAGGAAAGAATCAAATATTAACTGGAGGGGAAGGCCTGCCTGAACATCCATGTTTTTAATTGTTTTTTAAAAATACCCAGCGAAGGGGCCGCACGAATCTCCGGAGGCAGATTGTTCCAGAGACGAGGAGCCACCGCTGAGAAGGCCCTGTTTCTTTTTTCTTCTGGGCCTCCCTTGGTGTCAGGCTCCTCAGTTTCACCTCCTGACTCGCTCGAGTGATATGGGTAGATCTTGGTGGGAGTACTGTAGTCTTTGGGTTTTGGACTACAGACTGCAGAGTTCCACCTGTGAGATCCTGATTTTTTTTTGTAGTCCAAGAAAGGGGTGGTCAACCCTGTGTAGAGACGTTAAGTTTGCACTTACCTGAGAATTCTGAGAGTTGTAGCCCAGAAAGTAATTTTTCTAAGCTGTGAGCTTCTATACTCCATTTTCTTTATATGCTCAATAGAGTGATAATTACAGTTCATGATGATGCCTCTGTTGGGCAAAACTATACCCAGTATCCTGTTGCATAGCTATCCCAGCAGAGTGGTAAGATTGGCCGTGACAGAGAGCTGCTGATGAAAGAGTCCCTGCTTTGATACTAGGTTGTGTGTGGCGTGCTCAGTGAGATGCAGTCTCAAGCAACCTGAAATTAAACAAGGGACTCTTTAATTAGAGGCAATCTGCTGGTGGTACAACAGGATTATGGACCATGTTTACTATAAAATTGTAAACCCTCTTCAGTCATTTGGTAGTCCAGGATCATCAAACACAACGAGAGAGGAGCGGCTAGTCTGCATTCCTGCTTTGTTGTTTTGCTTACACAAGCCACGAAGTTGAAGGAGGAGAGACTTCTGCTTGCCGAAGTCCAACAACGACGGGATGGCCACGCTTTCCTCCCTTTCAGTTTTGTGGATTCGGATGGCATAGTAGACAAACTCTCCATACTACGAGACAGAAAGTAAGGAGTGAAATGGAAGGTGGAAGGCAGCAGGAATAGAGGAAGACCAAATATGAGATGGACTGACTCACTAAATGAAGCCACCGGCTCAAGTTTACAGGAGCTGAGCAGGGCAGCTACCAAACTGACAGCCATTCTAGTGTTTTGCAATGATCCTGTGCAGAACTTAGGAGAGTTACTTTTTAGACTTCAGTTCAAAGAAACCCAGCATAACCATTGGCTAGGTTAGTTGGGGATTCCAGGAAGTAAAAGTTCTAAAAAGTAACTTCTCCAAGCTCTGGATCTGGCTTTGTAGGTCTGTGTGTAGAACTCATCGAAACTTTAAAGCAAAAAAAAAAAAGTTCATTGGCTTTTGTTATCCTTAGAAATAATATTTTTTTAATTGCAGACTGAACTTTTCAACAGCGGCCTCCACCAACGCGGTGTCAGTGTGCAGAGCAGCTGGACTAGAAAAGATCGACCGGATTGAATGTTCCCGTCGTTACCTCTTCAAGGTGGGCACGGGAGTTTCTGATTCTCTCTTTAAAGCCACTGGTGCTTCCCACCAGCAGGATTTTCCCGACAGGGATGGCTGTCCTGCATCTCTCTTCAGTGTACTACTTACCCACCCACCCCCATATGTTTTGGAACTTCTATTTCCAGAAGTCCCAACCAGTGAATCAGATGTGGGAGTCATAGCCCAAAACATCTGGAAGGACAAATGTTCCTGGTTTAAACGCCTCCTGAGCAGGCTGGAACAGGATTCAACGAATAGATCAACATTGCAAGAAATACAGTAGGACCCTTATATCTGAAATGTGGATCCATCTCTAGAAATACATATTTCCAGAATTTTTCTTTTGGTATTTTCAGGCTATGGATAAGTGAATCAGTAGATACCGATCCCACGGATAACGGGGGTCCTGCTATATTGCAACTAAACATTCTATTTTTTTTTACACAATAGAAATATGGAGATCCACAGAGAAGAATAGCTACAGAGTTCCCCTGATTCCAAATTTCTCATTAACAGGCACTTAAAATCTCAGTAACTTATTCTGAGACATTTATGGGAGGAAGAATAAAAACACATTTCTTTACTTGCCGTTCCTTGAAATTACAATTTTTCTGTACACTGCTTTCTTTATTGCACACATGTTATCAACCAATCAAACAGATCAACAGCAAACAACTGCCACCAACCAGCAAAGACAGGGATAGAACGCTCAGCAGAGAAGTCAAGCACTCTTGGGATTTCAAAAAGCTGGAAGGCACAGATGGCTAGTGCTGGATAGATAGTCATCCCAACACAGAAAAATCCCTCCCCATTGCTCAAACTACAGACAGCATGCAAAGTTTTAAATAAAACTCCAAAAGTATTGGCTCCTTTTCTGCCTCTTTATCTTTTGAGAGGGTGATTTTCAGTCTGATACCTATTGCAGACTGAACTTTTCAACAGCGGCCTCCACCAACGCGGTGTCAGTGTGCAGAGCAGCTGGACTAGAAAAGATCGACCGGATTGAATGTTCCCGTCGTTACCTCTTCAAGGTGGGCACGGGAGTTTCTGATTCTCTCTTTAAAGCCACTGGTGCTTCCCACCAGCAGGATTTTCCCGACAGCGATGGCTGTCTTGCATCTCTCTTCTGTGTACTACTTACCCACCCACCCCCATATGTTTTGGAACTTCTATTTCCAGAAGTCCCAACCAATGAATCAGATGTGGGAGTCATAGCCCAAAACATCTGGAAGGAGAAATGTTCCTGGTTTAAATGCATCCTAAGCAGGCTGGAACAGGATTCAACTAATAGATCAACATTGCAAGAAATACAGTAGGACCCTTATATCTGAAATGTGGATCCATCTCTAGAAATACATATTTCCAGAATATTTCTTTCGGTATTTTCAGGCTATGGATAAGTGAATCAGTAGATACTGATCCCGCGGATAACGGGGGTCCTGCTATATTGCAATTAAACATTCTATTTTTTTTTACACAATAGAAATATGGAGATCCACAGAGAAGAATAGCTACAGAGTTCCCCTGATTCCAAATTTCTCATTAACAGGCACTTAAAATCTCAGTAACTTATTCTGAGACATTTATGGGAGGAAGAATAAAAAAACATTACTTGCCGTTCCTTGAAATTACAAATTTTCTGTACACTGCTTTCTTTATTGCACACATGTTATCAACCAATCAAACAGATCAACAGCAAACAACTGCCACCAACCAGCAAAGACAGGGATAGAACGCTCAGCAGAGAAGTGAAGCACTCTTGGGATTTCAAAAAGCTGGAAGGCACAGATGGCTAGTGCTGGATAGATAGTCATCCCAACACAGAAAAATCCCTCCCCATTGCTCAAACTACAGACAGCATGCAAAGTTTTAAATAAAACTCCAAAAGTATTGGCTCCTTTTCTGCCTCTTTATCTTTTGAGAGGGTGATTTTCAGTCTGATACCTCCTACCAAAGGGTGTGCCATGTAGGTTTTGACATCTTAACGAAACATTACTGTCTTTTCCTCTTTCAGTGTAACCAGCATCCATCACCAGCCCAGAAGACCACTCTAGCCTCTTCGCTTTATGACCGGATGACGGAACAACGTTACCCAGAGCCCATCAGCAGTTTTGCTGTAGCAATCCAGCCGGAGCCGGTGTTCTATGTCGATATTCTAGGAGAAGGGAGGGCTGCCTTAGCAAAAGCTAACAACCAGCTTGGTATGGGCTAGTGGAGAAAAAAAAGGGAAAGAGGTGTGGTTGACAGCTAGGATGTGCATGAACTGAAGATGTGTGAGTGGACACACAATTATTGTCAGGATTACAATAGGGATAATTCCCTTCTATCTTGCAAGAGAGAAAGTTGGGATATAAATGAAATAAATAAATTATATCCAGAATCCTGTCACTATTTGCTGCCTGACGTTTGTATAACGTGCTGCAGCAAGCTGTGGCTAATTGATGATGTGTTCCAGGGCATTCCATTTATGTGCCTTATCACATGGCTAATCACGCAACTGACTTTGTGGCACTTCATCAATTAGTCACGGCCTGTTACGCATACTTGATGGGAATGCCAAGAAGGTTCTGGCTGATAAATCGACGAAACCTAGGATATTCAAATTTGTGATGTGCAATGAGAGCCGAAATACACTATCAGCAAAGATCATACGGCACGTGGTTGTTGTGGAACGGTACAAATTTTGACTCAGAATGCAGGGAGGAGTGGGTTGTGTATTAGTTCAACATTAGACTTTTACCTCCCTCCATTCTGAAATGGTACAGTCCTGCCAGGTATGCCCGGGATTCTGCTGATGGTGTAACCCAGTTCAGAGTTCATCGAATGATGGGTGCCCAGTTGACTTGGAATACAGTATATCTGAAACCCAGTGACAGCATAGCATCAGTTCCTTGAACCCTTTCCTTCACCCATTCTCTGAGATACAAAGACCCATGTGAGGCTAGAACATGCCTTTGGACTCTCTATGTCTTAAGAAGAGCTAGATAAAGCCCTGTAAGGGCTCATGTTTTCCCTGTTTGACCCCTGGCGACTCCAGAGCAGCAAGTAAAATGTTACTCACTTACAGGTCCTCCTTGCTGATGACGTATGGGGATAATGGTTGAGTAGATTAGAGCAAAGGAATGAATGTAAGTCATGCTGGCTTAAGAGAAACCTACCTCTTGTCTCATAGGTCTGGCTTTCGATTCTTGGGACCTGGACTTCTACACCGCTCTTTTCCAAAAGCTTGGCAGAAATCCCACCAGCGTGGAATGCTTTGATCTTGCTCAATCCAACAGGTACCTGCTTAGCTACATTGGGATGTGCATAGTACAGGCTGTCTGAGAATAGTCTCCCTGTCGCAGGTTGAAAAGGGAGGTGGTTGTCCAGTAGCAGTGAGTTCCAAAGTTCCCCAGCTTGTGTTGGTGACAACTGGAAATAATGTTGGCTCTGCCTCACTCAAGTTCCCCAGCTTGTGTTGGTGACAACTGTCGGGTGACTCTTGTGGTTTTTACCCAGAGCTTGGAAATAATGTTGGCTCTGTCTCACTGTGTTCCTTTGCTCCTCAATTTCATGTTTTGTTTTGTTTTCTTCTGGATGTCTTTCTGGGCAGCGAACACAGCCGGCATTGGTTCTTCAAAGGGCGCCTCCTGCTGGACGGCCAGGAACTGAAGGAGTCTCTCTTTGAGTCCATCATGAAGACCCAGGAATGTAGCAACGCTAACAATGTCATCAAGTTCTGCGACAACAGCAGGTAAAGGGTCTTTGGCTGAGTTGTGGGAATGGAGCAGCTGGATTACAAATGGCAGGAAGCCATTTGGTTGCCACATCAACTTTGGAGGCTAGTATAACTTCTCCCAGCTTGAGCTGTTTCAGCATCGTTTAGTAGGGAGACTCTCAGGGTCAGGCGTGGAAGATCTGGATTCAGATTCCCCACTCAGTCCTGAAGCTCACCGGGTAATTGTTCGGCCGGTCAGGATCTTGCAAGCCTAACCTTGCAGGATAGATTTGCAGGATACAGATGGTAAAACAAGACCTTGTCTTGAGTTATTTTGGAAGAACACTTGGACATGACTGTATGAAATAAATACATTAAATAAATGCTTTTTCCCCGTTCAGTGCCATCCAAGGCCGGGAAGTCCTTTCGCTGTGGCCCAGGGATCCATCCCGCTCCAGCCCTTTCGAGAAACGTACATCCACGCGGCATGTCATTTTCACAGCAGAGACCCACAATTTCCCCACTGGTGAGTGAGGTGGAAAAGGAAGTAGGATGATATGTGCTTTTCCCGTGTATTTTGATGTAAAGAAGATTCTGTAGATATAGCAAGAAAGAAAGAAAGAAAGAAAGAAAGAAAGAAAGAAAGAAAGAAAGAAAGAAAAGGTGATTAAAACTGTTTTAAATAGTTCATAATTTCCCTTTGTTTTAAATTGTTCTGTTGCCTGCGCCACACCTTGAGATCATTTGCAAAAGGGCAGGATATAAATAAATAAACAAATATATATATACGTATTTAAAAAGTCATTAAACCTGCCTCAGTTGCCATAAGTAATTTAATAAATGCAATGTAATTTAATTAATGTAACTTAATGAAATGTCTCAGCCAGTAAAGCCATGTTGGTATTCCTCACAGAGGGAGGGAATGGTTTACAATCATCCCCAGCCAGCCTGATCAATGACTGGGCATATGGGAATTGTTGTCTAACCCCCCCCCCCCATACAAGTGGCTTACCCCCATCTGGAATTTATGTAGTCCAGCATCATGTTTCCTCCAGTGGCTATCTGGATGCCTCTGGGAAGCTCAAATCCACCACTGGCATGCTGTTAGTTTGGCTAATAGCCCTTGAGAATATGGGTATGATCTTCTGTTGTTTTGGACTCCATCTCCCAAAATTCTCTTAAGAGTTCCTGAGGCAGAGTTCTGGGGGGTTTCATACCACAAACACACAATTACAAACCCACATTTTCCTCACCTGGAGCAAGGCTTACCTCTGATGCTACATGCTCTTCTGAGGTCTTTACTTCCTGTTGTTCGTGTTCCTGTTGTTGTTTTAAAAAGTTGATGTGGTGCATTCTGGGAGTCATCGTTCTTTGGGAGGTGCGCTCTATCCAGTGAGACTGCAACTCCCAGGAAGCATCCGGCAGCTTTCTTTTTTGAAAACATTAACAACAGGAAGCAAAGGCCTCAGAAAGCCAGGGGTAGGCCCTGCTCAAGGTATACTTGAGTGTTTGTGGGTTGAAATTCGCAGAATACTGCCTAAGGGATTTTTGGAGTATTCTGGGGGATGGAGTTAGAAAGAGAGCAAACCTTTGAATGACACCTTTATAATCTATAGAAAAAAAACTGGAGATGCTGGGGATTGAACCCAGGACCTCATACATGCAAAGCATGCGCTCTACCACTGAGCTACATCCCCATGTCTTCTCTATTTACTTGCTACCTATCTTTTCACAGACCGTTAGATTTCTATTGATAATCATGGTTATCGGAATCGAGAAGCAATAGAAAGTCCTCGGGGAGGCAACTGGAATAGGGTTGCAAAACTGCAGTTAGCGAATTATAAGGGTCTCGTCCTTTTCTCTTTATGCATTCATTGCTTTCAAACTTTAGGAACTGTTATTGAATCATGTTGCCTGTTAAGAAAAAGTCCAAAGTCCAGGAATGCTGCCAGAAAACTGGAGCGTGACTTGAAAAGATGCCAGCGGGAATAAAAATCAGATCAGATACAGTGAGACACAGACAGACAGATAGCTTAAAAACTTTATATCTATCCATGTTGCTCTGTTTCTAAGCTCTGACTGGTGTGAGTAAATACAAAAATGAAAATGTGTTCTGTGGGATTGGATGATGCACAGAGAACTAGCCATATTTGCACAGCTGATGTTTTTCAACCTCTTGTTGCAGGGGTCGCCCCTTTCAGCGGTGCCACCACGGGGACAGGCGGGCGGATCCGGGACGTGCAATGCACAGGACGTGGGGCCCATGTGATCGCGGGGACAGCTGGGTATAGCTTTGGCAATCTTCACATCCCAGGTGAGTCGCGGCCACTTGTGTGTGCCTGGAATACAGTGGCGCCTCACTTAACGACTGCCTCGTTAAACGACAAAACTGCTATACGATGACTGTTTTGCAATCGCTTTTGCAACCACAAAACAATGTTCTAATTGGCAAAAATTTACTTCCCGACGATCAGTTCTCTGCTTCGGGAACCAATTTTTTGCTAGACCATGTTTTTAAAACAGCTGATTGGCGGCTTTAAAATGGCCGCCCACTGTGTAAAATGGCTCCCTGCTGTGTTTTTGGATGGATCCCTCACTTTACAGGCACCTAAAATGGCCACCCCATGGAGGATATTTGCTGGGCGGTGAGTTTTCAGCCCAGTGGAACACATTGAATGGGTTTTCAGTGCGTTTCGATGGGATTTTTTATTTTGCTTAACAAGGATTTCACTCTACAGAGATTTTGCTGGAATGGATTATACTTGTTAAGCGAGGCACCACTGTACGAAGATCATGGAGAAGAAGTGTGCTGAGACTTCTTAAGTCCCAGGGACCCCAAATCCTGGCGGGATTTTAGATGTGGGCAAGAGGAACCACACAGTTTGCCACGACTAATTGCAGTTCATCATGGGCTTGGCATATACTGGGGCTGGGTGTCCATCTGGGTGCTTGACTGGCATGCTTCTAGCATCTCATCAGTGAACTGCAGTAACTTCTCATCTGGTCTGCAGTCTTGCTCTTATCTCGGATCAGTGATCAGAGATAAGAAGTAAGTGGCTGTTCAGAACCGGGGAAAACCTCTTGCCTAAAACTGAACTCTTACTCTGCTGAAAATTCTGATCTCCCAAAGTGGTTGTGGAGGATTGAGAGACAGAAGAGGTCAAGACTGGTCATGCTACCGTCTCTTGTGACCGATGGGGTCATGATGCATTTGCATCAAGTCCAAGGCAGCAAGAGATATCCAGAGAACTTGGTTATGGGAAAATGCTCCCTTGTGTATTCCCGGTGTTTGTCTGCAGGTTACTCATTACCTTGGGAGGATCCGTCCTTGCCCTATCCTGACAACTTTGCCCGGCCTGTGGAGGTGGCCATCGGAGCCAGCGACGGGGCTTCGGACTACGGCAATAAATTTGGAGAACCTGTGCTGGCAGGTCGGCAACATATTGTCTTGGTTTCCAACACACTCGGTGGCCAAAATCCTGTTGCTCGGTAGAGTCAATCCACATCAGAGTCGGCCACTGAATCAGTGGGGATTTGGTGAGACGTTCCCCTGATTCAAAGGGGCTTATGCTCACAGTGACTTACTAAGTCACTAAGTAGAGTAGACCTACTTGAATCAGTGGGAGAGTTGGATCACCAAATCCCCATTCATTCAGTGGGCTTACTCTGGTGTGACTTACAGTGCTGAGCAACAGGATTTTGTGACTTGGGTTTTTTCCCCCCACTTTGAAGACATGGGATTTGGAGATATAGGGATGGGCGGCTTGTGGGGCTTCAGAAGCTGCGTTTCCCCTCCCATGGACTTTGGAGGGCTACACCCCATTGTCACTCGGGGGGGGATGGGAAAGGTCAGTCCTAGAATTGTACATGAAACTCCCATCTCCACTTCCAGGAATGTTTGGGACACTGATTTGCCATGTAAACGTAACTCCTCCTGCCCCAGGCTTGTTTTAGGTCATTAAATGCTTCCTTTAGACCCAAGAAGTGACCATCCAGGTTCAATATGTGTGTGTGTGTGTCTGGAGATCCAGAGTGAGCTACACCTTTTCCTATTCTTGATCTAACAAGAGCAGGGGGCAAGTGAAGTCATGAAGACAGGGGAGAAATTGAAGGGGGGGTTGTACAGTGGAGGAGACCGCAATATTTGGAAACTGATTCTCAGCGCCTCTCCCCATTGTGCTCGGCACAGGCTTTGCCCGGTCTTTTGGGATGCGCCTGGCAGATGGCGAGCGGCATGAATGGATTAAGCCCATCATGTTTAGCGGTGGCATCGGGGCCATGGAGGACGTGCATGTACGCAAGGAACTCCCACAGCCTGGTATGTATTCTGATGGATTTCAGCATTGTCGTATCCGGAAGCCTTAGGGTGGAGAGTAATATTTTGAAACTGATGGCTCTAGAATTCTCCATATTCCAAGAGGCAGTATTTAATCAGTTATTCCGTTTGATTAATTGGTGTTTAAACATTCCACAGACCAGAACGATGTTCTCAATTTAGAAAGCATGTACTTTTGTATCAGAGCAGACATTTTTGCTGATGATGGATTCATTCATTAATCTACCAATAATTTATTTATAATTGCCATAATATATTCAGCACAGTTTTGTTCTTCTGGTGCTGATGACAGCGAGGGTGAAGAAGCACTGAAACTTTTGCTTCTCCTTCCTCACCTCGGAATTCATATTTTCCCAGGCATCACCCATTTGCTTCCAAGCCGTCATGAGGACTAGAGACGTCTCTTGCACAAACCACAATCTTCATCTGAAGAAGTGGGCTTGGAGGCATGAACGCTTATGGAAAAAAAAAACTTATTAGTCTTGGAGGCGCTACAAAACTTTGGGTCTTTCTCAATGAAAGCTGCAATTCTAGGAATATTGAATTCTGTGTCCACGATCAGAGGATGATGATTTTTTTTACTGCCTAATTGCAACGTCAGTTCTGATTTCTAGGTATGGATGTTGTCAAAGTTGGAGGCCCAGTTTATCGAATCGGTGTGGGAGGAGGAGCGGCTTCCTCCATTCAGGTAAGTGGGGTTCTCAGTTCTCTCTGCTCCTGACTAGAGATGGGCACGAAGCAGTTTGACCTGGTTCGTCCCCTTCCCCACCTCCACCAGTCACTGACCAGGCCCAGCAGGGGAGCTTCCTGCACCTCTTTCATTGATCTCCCAATCCCAGCAATGGCTCAGCTTCCTCGGCCCCGCCCTCTTGGCTGATCTCCCAATCAGAGAAAAGGGCGGGGCAGAGAAGTCTGTGCTCCTGCTCATGACTGGGAGATTAACTGAGGAGGCAGAAAAAGCAAGCAAGCTGGGCCTGGTGAGCTGCTGTTGGAGGCAGGGAAGGGAGCAGCAGCCCCTGTGCTGCCACCTTTATGAACTGGGACAAGCTGGTTTGAAAGCAAATACAGTATCTCTGTTGAAGCTGGGATTTCTACCTTCTGGATCCCTTTGGAAGCATGGGCTGGAAGAAAGCCAATTTCCTTGGACTCTTTCAGGTTTTCTCTCCCAGACTGGCCAGTTGGGACAAAGCTATGACCTTTCATGATGAAGCCTTTCACACCCACCCACATGTATTTGTTGTGCTTCCCAGGTCCAAGGGGACAATGCCAGCGAGCTCGATTTTGGGGCCGTGCAACGTGGTGACGCCGAGATGGAGCAAAAAATGAACCGGGTTTTGCGAGGCTGCGTGGAAAGTGGAGAAAACAACCCCATTTGTAGCTTGCACGACCAGGGTGCTGGAGGAAACGGTGAGAGGCGGGAAGAAGGCTTTGTGGCCTTTTTGTTCTTTATTTCTTTCCTTCTGACTCAGCTGAGCTTTGTGGAAAATCTCAGTGTGCCTGCTGCACAGATCCTGAAGGAAGGCTGTCACGGTGAAGAACCTTTCACAGGTTTCCCAAGCAGCAATAAATTAGGTAAAGGTACCCCTTGACATTTAGTCCGGTCGTTTCAGACTCTAGGGCGCGGTGCTCATCCCTGTTTCCAAGCCGTAGAGCCAGCATTTGTCCGAAGACAGTTTCCGTGGCCACATGGCCAGCACGACTAGACACAGGACACCATGACCTTCCCACCAAGGTGGTACCTATTTATCAACTCGCATTATTACATGCTTTCGAACGGCTAGGTTGGCAGGAGCTGGGACAAGCGACGGGAGCTCACACTGTTGCGTGGATTCGATTTTATGACGGCTGGTCTTCCAACCTTGCAGCACAGAGGCTTCTGTGGTTTAACCCCATACCACACATATGGAATAAATTACCCAGTAGCAATTGCATAAGTATCAATGTTTTTGTTGCCTAGAATGCTCTAGTTCTCCTTTTGAGGAAACAGTGCCTCTCCAGAGTTGTGTGAATGAGTAGTCAGAGGTCTCTGGGCAGCATATGGCTTATTGGAAATGAAAAATGCAGCCATAATGCTAAATGACTAAAAGCAGAATCCAAAGCCAAGATAATGCCAGAGCTGAGAAGAAAATGTTGGCATCTAAAAACCAAATGAAAACCAGTAACAAGGTGACGCTGCAATGATGCAGAAGCAAGAAAATGTTTGGGGGGAAAGCCTGGTGACCTGAGGCATAGTCTCTCTCTCTCTCCCTCATTCCCCCATTTGTTGTTGCCAACATTGACGAAAAAAAGAGATGAGAAAGACTATATTTCCTCCCAGAAAGGAGGTTTTTAGCCTGGCAGGAATTTCTGGGGCTAAAGAACACTCTAGCATCCCCTGTGCCATTAAGAGCCACTACTGTTCTAGCTAAGTTGGAGTAGCTGCTATGGCAACTGGGCCTGCTCTTGGAGGTTGACTTTGATGGATAAAGAAAGAAGTGTGTGGACTTTTTGCGTGAGTGGGAGGCCATAGAAGGATGGTCTTCTTGATCCTCGAGGACTGTGAGAATGATAAGAGCTGTTATTTT